TTGTAACTACTAAACTCACAGTAATATGGTGTATATGCATTTATACCAATTGCATCAGAAGTCATATGGTGACTATGCACACTTATAATTGCATCAGAAGTATAAGTATAAACATCTCAAGTAATGTGGTGACTATGCATTTATACGAATTGTATTTTTTTCACGAATTGTCCGGGTACATTGGCAAATCACGGGGGTGCAAATATGTGAAGGTGTGTTAAGACATTATTAAACAATACTCAAATATGAATTTGTGAGATGATGTTAGTTAAGTCCGTATATGAAAAGTAATGCTATCAATTAAGCACAATAACTTTTGAAACACATTCAACATGTATATAGAATCTATAGTACTCCGTTCTTAATTCAAAAATAGCCAAGAAATTAATTATATAAATATGTAGGCCAAATTACCAGATTGGTAAAAAAAGGGTCATTGGACGGATTGGTAAAAAAAACCACTTGAGTCAAATTGGTAAAAAAAAGAAGGCCTAGTGACAAATTGGTCAATTTTTCGTGAGTGATAAATTTTCGATCCTCGACTTTAGAATTCTCGACATTTCATGTTCCAGGTATTGTGAACTTGACATTTGTAGTCATTTTCTGGAGTAGATTTTCAAAATGGAGTAGACTTTAAAAAAACTAATAAATAGTCATATTAAAAATATTATTACTAAAAATATACTCCCTCTGTTCCATAAAATTCTTCCCACTTTCCTTTTTGGGCTGTCCCAAAAAATTCTTCCCACTTTCCCTTTTTGGACAATTTGTGTGGTTCACACTCATTTTACATTTTTTCTTACACAACCACAACCACACATTTCCACTTTATTCCACTTTCTTAATCTCCGTGCCAAGTCAAAGTGGGAAGAATTTTCTGGGACGGAAGGAGTATAAATTTATATGTGTGTGCTTGCATTAATGTGCACATCTTAAAAATGACAGTGTTAGTAATTATTTAAAATAAACGTAACCATAACTTTTAAAACTTTTTCCAGAACTTATTAAAAAAAATAAATAAAATTAATTTAAATATATAAACTTTTAAATTCATTTTTAATGGTCATTTTACGTTTGTAAAACTAATTGCAAATTTAATTTTAAGTTCATTTTATTTCAAACCACTAATGAAAGTGGTTAGTTAAAAAAGGTAATGAATCCACTAATATCAATTTGTTGATTCAACCAATTATGAACTAGTAGACAACTGATATTATCAAACACGGTCATTGACATTTTAGACCTCCACTTTGATGACAAAATCAAAGTAAAATAACTGCAAATGTCAACTTCACAATACCTGGAATATGAAATGTCGGAAATTCTACAGTCGATGATCGAAAACTTATCACTCACAAAAAATTGACCAGTTTGTCACTAGGCCTTCTTTTTTTTACCAATTTGACTCAAGTGGTTTTTTTTTTACCAATCCGTCCAATGACCCTTTTTTTTTACCAATCTGATAATTTGGCCTAAATATGTAGCCAAACAACATAAAAGAAACCTTCCCATATTTTCCAATATTTGTTACTACAGACCAAGTGTGAAACCTCCATTCACACTTCCATATGCGTTGTGTTGTCATGCTCTTTGTTACAACACAATACATATGTTTTAAATTTGGTTTTCAATTTTTACATCCCCAAGTGCTGATCTTACAACTTGAAAAAATAAACATCAACTTCTACCATATTAAATAGACCACATCAGTATACTACCTACATAAACATCTGTATATATAATTTCTACATATATATATGCAGAGTATCAAAATAACTGAATTTTTTATGGCACTCGGTCTCATTCCCCTCTTCTACAAAACCTTGATTCTAGAATTCATTGTTTTACACACCATGGCTCCATCTTAAATTGATGCATTCCCAGAATCCCTAAAATCTGAGATTGTTCATTAACTTTTCGTCCAGTAAAGTCTTAATTATGAATAACATCATAATCATGTCGATACTTTTAGCTTTTAAGCATTTTTTGTGTAGTATGTGTATTTGTAATTTGACCCACTGATTAACACTCAACAAACTGAATAACTTCTATCATTGAAAATAAAACTCTCTTAAAATATGCTCTGATGATATTTAGATTTAGATATACAACTAACGCTAGATATAATTAATCATAATAAATACTCCGCAATATACATTTTATTGAGCAATAAAATAAATTGATGAGTACTTTATTTTGAATTCATCAACACACACGAATACTTCGTATAATATATTCATAACAAACATGCATAAACGTATTTCCATGACATTATTGTGAATTGCAGGCGTTCAACTTCGAACTATAGAACCTGAGAGGGAAAAGAGAAAGAGAAGAGACAGAATTCAATTTTCGATGGTATTCAGTTTGGCACGATTTTGCGAATTATTTATAGCGAAGTGAGCCAACTTGCCAACTTGCATGCACCGACCCAAGGAACAGCAAGTGGGATGTCTTTCGATGATTTTCTTTTTTCGTTTTCTGAATCCTCGACGATATGGAGTACTATTGAACTTTTGAATAGTCAATTCCATTACCGGCTGGCGACATGATGGGTCTTCATCCATTTTTTGTTTTATTGTGCTATTTTCACCAAATACTCTATATGTCATGATTACTTTCAATGGATAAAATCTTCTCCAACACGCCTAAATAACTTCTGAATATTCATTTTTGCACTTTTTTTGGGAACTTAGTGTCAATCCAGTTGATGCTGACAGATTTGAGCGGCAAACCTGTAGCAAAAAATCTTTTCCTTTTAGATATTAGTAGATTTTGTATGGTGTTTTGGAAATGACTCTTTCAAAAAAAATGACATTTGTTTTAACATTTTGAAATATGATATTTTTAAAACATTTTTTAGTAACCCGCCAAATTATTCTGATAGGAAATACCGCTGACTAAATATTCCCACCGTATTTAAAAGTTCCCTACACTTTCCTTTTTGGGATCTATTTAAAAATTCCTTACACTTCCATTTTTGGTAAGTTTGTCTTTTATAAAATACTCAACTACTTTTACTTTATCTACTTTTTATATTCTCTTTCATAACTTTTACACACTCTCTCATACTTTTTCTACATTATTCATTACATTTACTATTCTATTATAAAATATTGTGCCAAAAGCAAATGTAAGGAACATATAAATACCGGTAGTATGTTATTAAAAATTCGTTATCCGTTAATTGCAAAATATTTTGTTCGTAAAAATGTTACGTGTGAATAGCTTGTTCACACACAAATATATTTGTTCGTAAAAATGTTATTCATAAGCAATAAAATAGCATGTTCATCAACCACATAAACAAGGACGGTATAACCCGCATGTACAAACATTTTTCCCCCTAAAATTAATGTAAGTTATCTTTATGTAAAAATGTGTTACTGAAACTTCGAATCTCTGATTATATTTATATTAATCATAATGTTGTATTATTAATTGATAATTTTGATCACATTTTTCAATAATTTTATATTAATATGGAGTAATATTACTTGGTCTTAAATTCTGCGAGATGTTTATATTAAAAAGTACTGAGGAACCTTCATGAATAACTTTCTAGTCAACTGTTAACTCTTCTTCAACATTTTGACTTTAATTTTTCAATAACTCATTCGAGTCTTTTTATTTCTCCTTTTCTAAAAAATAATCTATCAAGTATCTTTATAAGTGAAATACTGAAATGAAGTGAAAAAAAAACGATTGAATTTATTGTTATCACATCAATTTTTAAGACAGAGATCCACAAAGAGGCACAAAAGAATTGAAAGTAATAGTATAATTTTGAAAGATTTCAAGCCTTCAAGGATCTTAAACAAACAAATACTCCGTATTTTATTTTCATGGGAAAAGGACATTTAAATACAGAATTATCAATTTATGTATTTAAAGTTACAAAGAAAATAACTAACTCTGAAATTATAGTAAAGTTAATAGTAAAAGAACTCAACCAAATAATTCTTATATTTTTAGAGCTCGTTTGGTAGTTTACCCATTAAAACTTTACATGTAAAATGATTACATGTAAAGTGTAGGGCTGTAATTAGTTTGCGACGTAAACTAAAAATACATTGTTTGACATTGTTTGACTATCACGTTAGATCAACTCAGAGCGGATAACAATTGGAGAGGTGGGAAGGGTGTAGACTGCCTCTTTGCACTAACGATAGGAGATAACGAAGCCCCTAAAAATGCTTCATAATTTTAGGGCTATTGGGAAAGATATAGATCGATAAAACTCTCAGACGTTTGAGGAACAATGCCGCAGATTACGAAAAATTGAATTTATAATTCAAACCAAAATATCAAATCATTCTAATATATACAAGTATATAGAGAAACTTTTCTCAGGGGACGATTGAATGAAATCTACATAGCAACACAGGTGGAGGAAAAACGAGTTTTTATTTATTGCCAGCATGATTTATGCTTATCGTCACATGCATCTTCAAAAATCGGCAACATCTTTGCTTGCGTCTGCATATTTACGGACTGGATATATTAATTCTCTCGTATTAACGGGATGTAAACTAGTTTACTACCCTCTCCCCATGTAAAATATTTTACATGGTACAGTGTAAAATGTGTTTTAAAAAGTGTCCTACAGTTTACATTAAACAATTAAAACAAACGGTGTGAAATGTTTGTTTCCCTACACTTTACACGCAAAGTGTTTACTTTACATCATAACAAACGGGCCCTTAGTGTATTTTGCATTAATTAATTAGAATTTAACCTTCAAAACCCAACCGGTAACGGAAAACATTGCTCAGTAATGTTCTTTATATAGGCCTTTTCAACCAAACGAGACAAAATCTAATATATAGATAGTATGAGTTACGGATTGATTTTCTCATTACATTTACTTACAAGCTAGTCATTGTGATTATGAATCTCTTTGAACGAATTAATTAGCAGCATAAAAATGATATCATTAATTAATATGACTTGCCCCGATCGCATAGAGAAGCCATACAAAAGCCAGTTTTTATTAAAAGCCACATTAACGTACCACTACTAACCATTCAGATAATAAAGGAATGAATGAATATAAGTAGAAAATGAAAATGATGGGACTTTGAGATAATTCATGAAAAAATGGACATATCTTGATCAAATTTGCTATAATGGTCAGATTTCAATAACCTATAGACTACAGAAGAAAATCTCCTAAAATTCTAAAACTAGTTTATGCCTCCTTCATTGCACTTAGCTGCAATGTGATACATACTGCCTCTTGATCATGTAAAAAAAGAAAAGAAAAAAATTTGATGAAGAAAAAGACAATATGTATCAAGTTGCTTTCATGTGAAGCGCAACTAAGGACGCATACACCCCATCTACAATATTCATAAGGACGTCATGACTTCCCTTCTCTGCAACGATCCCATTCTTGACAACGGCAATCATGTCGGCTCCTCTAATTGTCACTAATCTATGAGCAACCACAACCGTGGTCCGGCTAACCATAACGCAGTCCAAAGCCTCTTGCACTACATGTTCTGATTCAGTGTCAAGTGCGCTTGTGGCCTCGTCCAACAGAAGGATCTTTGGGTCCTTCAAAATTGCTCTCGCAATGGCAATCCTTTGCTTTTGACCACCTGATAGTTGGGCCCCACGTTCTCCCACGGGCGTGTCGTAGCCTTGGGGCAGCGAGGAAATGAAGTTGTGAGCGTTTGCTGATTTTGCTGCCTCGATAATCTCTTCCTCACTTGCCTCCCCGTGTTTGCCGTATGATATATTGTCACGGATCGACTCATTGAACAAAATTGGTTCTTGACTAACCAACCCCATTTGTTGCCTTAACCAACTTAGCTTAAGATTCTTAACAGAAACCCCATCCAAGAGGATATCCCCACTGTCAGGATCATAGAACCTCTCTATTAAGCTAATCACAGTTGATTTTCCACTTCCACTTTCCCCCACAAGAGCACAAGTCTATAATAAAATGTAGTTATATCAAGAATGAATATGGATAATGTGTAGAATAAGATTTTAAAAAATTAAAAAACCAAAACAGATGTGTACCTTTCCAGCAGGCATTGTTAGGCATAAGTCCTTGAAGATTTGGATATTGGGTCGGGTAGGGTACTTGAAGCTCACATGTCGCAGCTCAATATCTCCACGTACAACTGGTAAAGTTTCGCCTTGGTCACTGCTTGAGTCAATCTTGGGCCTTCTATCAAGAATGTCGAATATAGAAGCTGCAGAATCCTTGGCCTTATTAAGATCTGGTGCTAAGCCAGTGGCCTGGGAAACTCCCATAGCTGCCATTGTCAATGCAAAGAACACCTGCACAAAGGAAAAAACTCATTTAGCTATAAGTGTACCTTAAGGAAGGGTGCGTTTGGAACAGGGAATATGCTAGTAAAAGAAAATAGAGGATGGAATGAAAGAAAATAAGGGAAAATATGAGCATTTGTTCAACTCGCATTTTTTTTATATTTGTTCGAATTCATATAATACATGGAGATCTAAACATTCATAACACATAAGTAGTAATCATATTGCATTTCATTAGTTTTTTCTGAGGTGAAGCCAAAGACTCACTATTTTTGGCTTGGGAATATGATGGAATAAAACAAAATGGCTCACTAAACTGTTTGCGCTTCTTTGTTATGAAGCAACAGTCAGTCCATGCAATTTTCGACACGATTTCATCATGGATCATCCAGAAGCGATCTCTCTGTGCTTTAGTACAGGGGTAAGGCTGCGTACATCCGACCCCCCTACCCCACTGTAGGTGATGTTGTTGTTGTTGCTGTTTTTTCTGAGGTGAGACAAATACAAAAAAAATCCTAAACTTTTATTTCCTTTTCTCTCAAACCTTAGCTGTGACATGCACCATAAAAAATTAATACCTTACCCTTGATGCAAGGTTAAGTATGAATTAACGTGCGGGCAAAGTGATAATTTACAAGGTGAGTCGTCTGTAACATGCAAAGTTATGTATTTTTTTCGTAATAAAACTAGATGCGCAAATGTAACATAACCCGGTTTTCATACCCTGAAGAGTTCTGCAAATGTTGCCAGCTTGTGTTTAATGAGAATAGCTCCTATGTAGAAACAGCCGGCATACGTAAAGTAGAGTATGAATGAACCAAAACCCATCCATCCACCGCTAACAAGTCCAACTTTTACACCATGCTTCACGGGGCCTTCACATTTCTTCTTATACGTAGACATCACCTTTTCTTCTGCACAGAATGAAGCCACCGTTCTTATACTGCCAACTGCATCATTTGCAACCTGACTTGCTTCTTCATACTTCACCTGCAAAGTGCACACTACAGTTTAATGAATGACAAATCAAATTATGTAAACATGCACCAGTTCAAAACCATATGTCCAGACAGTGAAGAAACCTTAGCAACTGCACTGAATCCCTTGTTATACTTATTCTGGAAATATCCTTGTACCCCCATCAAGGGTAACAAAGCAAGGATGATAATTGCCAACATCCAATTAGCGACAAAGGCTATAATAATTCCTGCCAAGATAGTAGCCATGTTTTGCACAATTAATGCCAATGCGTCCCCCACGAGGCTTCTTATAGTCGAAGCATCAGTTGATAATCTCGCCCCAACCGCTCCACTGCATACAGATAAAAGAGAGATTCTTTTTAATCATGAAAGTGAAACACATTGATTTCATATGGGAAAAAATATATATTTTGTCCCTCTTCTATCAGGTTTTTCCACTTTTTCTCCCCGCAGTTTATGTGCATGCTTATGATTTTTTTGCCACTTTTAGTCTTTTTTATTACCATCTTGCATAAATCAACCATATCATTTTCATTTACCCCAGTGCCGCAAAGGCTCCCACCTGCGGTGGGGTAAGGGGGGGGTCGGATGTAGGCAGTCTTACCCCTGTATTAAAGCACAGTGAGACTGTTTCCGGATGACCCATAGTGAAATTAGTGTTCAAAATTGCATGGACTGACTGCTGCTTCATAACAAAGAAGCGCAGACAGTTTAGTGAGCCATTTTGCTTTATTCCATCATATTTTCAAGCCAAAAAAATAATGAATCTTTGGCTCCATTGCAAATGATGGAAAAGCATAAATCAACCATATGTGAACAAGAGTGGCTGGTTATGTGACCCAGAGACCAAAAGTTGTAAAAATCCATCAGAAGTGGAAAAAAAGTCTAGAACCAAAAGCAGTCAAGAACTAGTAATAGTAGCAAATCAAGAGGGGAAATATTTTTCGTTCATAGGTTTCATTGAGTATTAGTGACGCACCTTGAATTTGCAGGTTCATCAAACCAGCCAATTTCATGGTAGACTACTTTGTTGAATGTCAGTGATCGAATCCTTCTAATCAACTTCCCGCCTGCAACTCCAAAGGAGAAATTCTGGATTGGTGCAACAACCAAGCTAACCAGGCCGAGGCATACATACATGCTCGCCCAAAACCGGGAATCATGTTTCAGCATCGGTTTAGGTTCAAAAAAAATCTTGATAGCCGTAGAGATCAGAAGCCCAAAAACAGGGAAAATCACACCATGAATTCCTGCAGCTATTGTCCCAACCACCAAATATGGCCATTCTAGTTTGTTCAGGGAGACGAGACGGGTAATGGGAACTCTTTTTCTTCTCTCCAGTGTCATCTTGTCCGGATTATCATTGCCGACTTCGGATTCTTGAATGTTGATTAGGCCAGGAACCGGGAAGTTGAATGAGAATGAGTGCCTTGATGATCCTTCATGGCTCAATGATCTTCTCACTTCAGATAATCTCTTGCTTGATGACAGGACAATATCATCTGAATCCATTGTAGTGATATCTGCTGCTTCAGCAGCGTCATCCGCTTCCATTAACTTCCCACCATGATTACTCCCTTGCTGCATTCTCACAAGCTGTGAATACGCCCCATTTGGATCTCCAATCAACTCGTCATGAGTTCCTAATTTTCGATTTAAAGAAATATTATGATACCAGATCAGATGGTTATTTCCAAACAATTAAAGTAGATGTTTTTTTTTTAACTCCTGCCTAGTTACTAGACCCCACTCCCCGACTCATGTGTAGTTTAACCCCACTGAGGCACTAACCCCTTGACATTTTCCCTCTGAGATGACCTCACCCATACTCAGTTACTGCTTAGGCGGTAGGCCCCTATGTTTTACCGACCTTAGCCCAATCTGCCCCCCACCTTAGTCTTCCCTCTAAATTGGCCCCACCTATGCTCAGCCTGATCCAACCCAGGTCCCATTTAGGCACTAGGCCTTAGGCATTGTTCATTTGTTTGTAATGCCATTTTTAGTTGAGTGGAGTACGAGTTATATTAGTTGCACACCTTGCTCCACAAGTTTGCCAGATTGGACAACTGCAATCAGATCAGCATTCCGAATAGTCGTAAGACGATGGGCAACAACCACGGTCGTCCTGTTCGACTTGACTCTGTCGAGTGCTTCTTGCACAATTCGTTCCGATTCAGCATCCAAAGCACTTGTAGCTTCATCAAGGAGGAGAATTTTAGGGTTTTTTAGAATTGCCCTAGCAATTGCAATTCTTTGCTTTTGTCCACCAGATAACTGAGTCCCGTGTTCACCAGCCATGGTATCAAGCCCCTGCCAGAACAACATATATCCAATCATTATTAATTAATGCCTTAATCCAAATGATTTTTACAAAAGAAAAAAATATGCACAGTTGCACACCCTTTTTTTATTTTAACATAATTGATGGGACCCATACTTGAACTTTTCTAAATGCTCGTCCCATCAATTATGTAGAAACACTAATGGTGACACCTAAGCCAAGAAATATAAGATTCTTACATAAATTGATAATACTAAAGCTCAAATGAGACAAACAAAGAAGTTCACCTTAGGAAGTTTATCAATAAATTTGGCAGCATTTGCTAGCTCTATGGCTGTTCTAATCTCTGCCTCAGTAGCATTTTCTTTACCATATGCTATGTTCTCTTTTAGAGTTGTTGTAAACAAGATTGGCTCTTGGCTCACTAATCCCATTTGTTCTCTTAACCATTTGAGCTTGAATCTCTTTAAATTAACGTTGTCTAGTAGCACTTCTCCAGCATGGGGATCATAAAACCTTTCCAGCAAACTGATAACAGTTGACTTACCACTCCCACTTTGCCCAACCAAAGCTGCAGTTTTGCCACTTGGGACGAGTAGTGAAAAACCAGAAAAAATTTGCACATCTGGTCTTGCCGGGTACCTAAAGTACACATCTCTTAACTCAATCTCACCCCTCACGTCTTCCAGAGTGACACCACTCGTGTCGGATGCATCAATTGACGGTTTGCGTCTTATCGTTTCAAACATTTTGTATGCTGCGGCTTGCCCTGATGCAAATGCATTCAGCGAAGGAGATGTTTGTCCTAGTGCCCTGAAATTTCAAACCAAAAATGATAAAACATCTACAAAATTGTGACACTGATCTCAAATTCCCAATAGGACCTAATTAACAAGCAGCATGTGCAGGACATGTGGAACCTGAAGACATATATTACTGACCAAGTATTGAAAACATTATTCTACCAGGGGGAAAAGATATTTTTGCAGGTTATATAATATGTGCGTGCGCACTCATACACACTGAAATATTTAGATGGGGGTCATGGGAATCTCAGCCTTTCTAGGTCAGCCTGGAATGTGTGCTTGTCGTTCTAAGACATGCGGTATAGATTTCAAGGGCTGACCGCCCCAACCACGACATAGAGGTGGTAAAGATTCTTTTACGTACATTCCTCCCATCATGATGGATATCATGACATTGATGACGTCTCCTCCTTTGTAGCCATGGTGCATTATCATTTTAGCTCCATACCAAACAGCTAATGCATAACTGCTAAAGATAACAAACAATATAACGCCAAGTCCCAAACCAGAAACCAGCCCTTGTTTTGCTGTGCATCTGTAAGCAACATCCAGTTCCCGGTCATACTTGTTGATTGACCGCTTTTCCCCATTGAAAGAGGCAACCTGTGGATAAATTATTTAACAGTAATTACACTCCTGCCCAAAAAAAGGAAAAAAAGCGCTACGCTACATATGAGACATTATATGTAATACCGTTCTAATTCCTCCAACAGTCTGTTCCACCACATTCCCTGCTTTGGCATAAGCGGACTGTCCTCGACTTGACATTGTAGTCATGATCCATGCCATTACTCCTGCAGCAAGCACAACAACAGGAATGCAACAGCACAAAACTAATGCAAGAAGCCATCCTTTAGTGAAAGCAATGATGAATCCTCCAATGAATGTTGATATAAATTGGATGAACTTTCCAACCTGGAAATTGATAATCAGTAATTAATTAGGACAAACAAGGGGGTTGCTATTAAGGAGCAAAGGTTATCTTATGGAGTCTGATGACTTATGTGTGACTTCATCATGCAGTGGTCCATGTCATAGGATTCCATAAGGGGATCCTATCTGATCTCTTACAGTTTTGGCATAATACAGTGGGGGGGGGGGGGGGGGGGGGGAGTTTTTCCCTGAATCCATTATGTATACGGTATACATATGAAAGCTAATCACCTTATCACTCATGGCTTCTTGAATGAGAATTGTATCACCAGACATCCGGCCAATAACTTCTCCGGCGGTAGTTTCGGTGTCAAAGAAGGCAATGTCTTGTCTTAGAATTGCTCTCAGATAAAGCCCTCTGATTCTAGCAGCTTGCCTTTCTCCAGTTACCACCCAACAAGACATTTCTGATGATTTCAAATCATGACAAACGTAAATCATGTGTAGGAAGGATCTATGTCAAATCATGTAATGCTAGGCAGGAAAAAATAAGGTCACCAATTACAATTCAGTTCCTACTTCCTAGTTTGAGATTAATCAAGCTTAAACATTTTTTTCCATAACTTAATAATCTCAATACATTTATGAAATCAAAGTACTGGTAAATGAAAGTGTGACATGTTAAGAAGATGGAAGATGTTGCACTTACGTAAAAATGAAGCAATGCCGGAGCCAATAGCAAGGTACACAAACTTGAGGGATAGCTGAAAATTAAACACATCAAACCTTAACCAACCGCCAAAAACAAACAAAAATTACTCTTATTAAAAAGACAGAGCCAGTTTTATGAGTAATAAATATTATTACTCATAGAAAATTATACACACACATGACACACACACACACAAAAGGCCGTTCCTGTTTTTTTTTTTGCAGCATACGCAGTGGCGGAACTATATAGGTGCAAAGGTGTTCATATGAACACCTAGATTTGAAAAAAATAAGTTAGTATACACATATAAATTTAATTTAATTATTTATTGCATTTTCAAATTTTAATTATAGAAAATAAATGAACACCCATATTTGGAACATAGATCCGCCACTGAGCATACGGACAAGTTTCCATCATAGGCCTATTTTAACAAAAAAAATTGCCATACTGTTTAACGTCAGAGTATGATCAGAAAATTCGCCATAAAATATAGGGACAAGAGTCACTTCTACAATAAGATAGATTACATACTTAACCGAATATAGCATTACAAGTTTTGACTAAAAGTTAATAAATTACAAAAAAAATATCGAAACGTTTATAATCTTCTTTCGTATTCTCTCTCTATTCCTCATTCAAACATATTATCAAGCATGTTCACTACAATAGAACACACCAAAAACATACGGAGCATGATAAAACCAGTGACAAAAATTTATTGTTGTGTTTATTTTACAGATATCTCGTAGAAGTACGTGGTAAACCTTAATTTTTAGAACCAAGTAGTTTCTTATAGTGAAAATTAAAGATTCATTTTACTCTTACAACCAGAGTGAAAATTAAAGATTCGAAAAAATTACCCAGCAGCAAAGCTGATTAGGCCGAAAAGCAAGCATACAAACTTCATCTTTGTATTTTGAAAAACATTCGAGTAGCCCTGCAAGTTCTGGTTTTTGGGTGGGATGTTCTTATACTACAGTAACTGCAATCGACTTGAGTAAAATTGACTTTCATCTTTTCACTTATCTGCATTTTTACCTGATGATTTGTTCGGGAAAAAGAGAACACGAATAGTTGTTGGTGACTTGTTTCAGTTCTGCCTCACTAGTTTTCCAGTCTCTTGATTTTTTATTCCCAACTTATGAGTTTTTATTTATTAAATAAAAAGTACTCCGTACTACGCATGTATCTTTTGAATGTATGCACTTAAAAGTAATTTGGTGAAAAGATTGTATATTTATAATTACTCCCTATTTTTCATACGGAGTATAATTATATTTTGAGTTAATGACTCAAATAGGACTAATTGCAAACTTTATTGCACATGTAGGACTGCTTACGGAAGTTAAGTTTCATAGGACCATTTTGAGAGCAGTTGGACAAAAATACCCCCTTTTAATATTTTAAATTTTAAAAATGTAAAATTAAAAACTATTGAGCCCTAGCAGTAACACTACCACCGCCAGAGGCAAACCTCCCGCCGGCGCATCCTGACTTTGCCCTCGTCGGAGATGCCGCCGCCTGTCACCGCCGCCGCCTGTCACCGCCGCCGCCTGTCACTGCCCTCGCCGGCAAATGTGCCGCCTGTCGCCTCCATCGCCGCCTGCTACTGCATCCTTGCCGACACATCATCGCCACCCATTGCCGCCCCCTACCCCGCCGCTTACCACACCGGCGTCGCCCGTCGCCATCACCACCACCGCCACCTTTCAGCCCCATTACTATCGTAACAATTCAGGCGGAATAAACTGACATGATGTTGGCAGATTTAGAGTTGAGGACTGGATCCACATCTGTCATGCCATAACACAAGAGTTTCAGATTTGCCAAAGAGTTGGCAGATTCATGTTGGAATATTAACACAAAACTGCCATAAATTTGGCAAAAAATGAAAAACATGAAGTAAATAACCAAATATTCAAACAACTAAATTTTTTAATGAAATAATTTTTGTAGCACAATTGGAAATTAGAAAAACGAAACTATTCACACAAAATCAGAAAAATGGATTTATACAAAAGCATTTTTGCCATAATATGATGTTAATGTACACATTTCTGCCACAAATTTGGCCAAATCCGAAGCAATCGTCCAAAATGTTGAAAATTAAAATTTGTTTTAAAACTCAGAAACTAGAAACCAGAAAATCAAAACAGAAGTTCGAAACTTGGAAAATTCAATTCAAAATCCAGAAAACAGAGGAAGATTGGTTAAAACAAAGGCATTTCTGCCATATTACGATTGTCAGTGTACATATTTTTGCCATAAACTTGGCAAAATCTGAAACCATCATCTAAACTTTTGGAAAATCGGAACTTAAAAAAACTAAGAAATCAGAAATCAAAAATCAGAAAATACAAAATAGAATTCTTAAAAATTGACAAAATCAATGTCAAATTCCAGAAAAACATAAGAATATGAGGAAGATCTGAAAAATCAATGTCTAAACTCATTAAAATAGAGGAATAGGAGAGGAAAGAAGAGTAGACCGGGGAAGAAGAAGAAGAAGAAGAAGAGAAGAAGAAGAGGAGGAGAAGAAGGAGGAGGAGGAGAAGAAGAAGAAGAAGAAGAAGAAGAAGAAGAAGAGACAACCTGCGATGATGCGTGCTGAATCCAGTGGTGACGAAGGAGGCGCGAGGCGGCATGGTTGGTGGCGGCGGTGGCTGCGATGCGCAAGGAGAAGTTGCAGAGGGAGTTGTCGATCGATTTATTCGGCAGGGAGGAAACCAAAGAGTCGATCGATTAGGTTTGTAAATGGAGAGATAAAAGGGATATTGGGTGCAGGGGTAAAATTGAGATGCAAATTTTTGTATGTTTAGGAATAGGAGTGAATTGGTCCTATTAAGGGAAGAAATCATGCATAGTCCTATTTGAGAATTTCTTTACTCTTTTAGTCCTATATGGGACAATTACTATTATATTTTACTTCATCATACTATTAAAATATATTTATAATTTAATATATTCAGTCAATTTGACGGATATTAATATTATGAAAAGACCTCCAAACTTGACTAATCTCCTCCTCTAAGGCTCTAACGCCTCTCCCTATTAAATCTAATACGGAGTAACTTGTAAGTTCTAAATCTTAGAAAGACCCGATACCATAGTCCCAGTTACGTTTTAATTTTCAAAAACTTCGCACAAGAGCCTTTGGTGTGTGTGTATACTTTGTTAATTTTGGGAAAATTTGACTTTCATATTTCACAATTATGTTTGTTAAAATTAACGTATTCAACTAACAATTAGTTTAAAAAATCGAAATATATATTATTAATTTGAAAATAGCCACCGAGACAAATCTTCTTAAATTTCAGATACTAATTTTTCTATATGAAAAAAACTGAAATTATGTGAATAATGCAAATATTTGAACCTAATAGAAAACAGTGTTCCAGAGGGAGGATATACATATATACACACATATGTGTGAATTGATGTATGCATGTTTTATACACATACACACTGTATGTACGAAGCCATTACACCATGCATGATGCATGTTAACTGCCATAAACTACATAAAAGATCATATCTGCTCTGGATTTTACATTCAGATTTTGACAGTGACGAGTCAAAGTAATTTGATGAAATTTTTTAAAAAGTTGACTTTTCAATGGATCTTCCCCAGTCCTGCTTTATGCATGCAACCCCAAAATCAGTACGTTGTACATAACTTCTTGAGCTCATAATTCAATCCAAATCATAAATCACACTCTAAGTTCATTAACTCAATAATTAATTAATCTTCTTAAATCTTAACTAACTCGCAAATATATACATTTATTCATTTATCGGCAGCGGCGTCTCATATACAAAATCAATTTCTAGGGCTAATTACGAGCGAAAATCAAACAAGACGCCATTAATGTATGTACATATATACCTTAGAGATCACACGAACGACGTGAGGAGAGGCCACAGTACCGAAAGAATTGATCAGTTGACCGAAGATCACCGTCATCAGCGGCTGAGTGACACCGTAAGCGACGGCGCCCACCGTTCCGGCGATCATCAATGCGATATCCAGGCGGTCAGCGAATGAGAATAGCTTATAGAACGCCACCTTCTGATTTTCATGTTTCGTTCCACCGCCGCCGCCAGGCGCCGATTTCTCCGGCCGCTCTCTCGTCGCTTCGTCTTCACTGGTATTCATCATAGGCACTTTCTTGCGTAAACCTCTTGCTTTTTATTATTGCTTTTTATTATGTATATATATATATATAAATCATACGGAGTGTTATAATTTAAGCATATATAGGAGTATATATATAATCTTATGCATAATTAATAGAGGTTTAAGCGATATATAGTTACGCAATTATTAGGATTGGCCAAACGGTGGGAGACCCGCACGTGAAACTGTGAAAGGAGTTGCCTGAACGAATTGAAGATTGAAAAAGTAATTATATTTTGGGACCAAGGTGCTGTTCTGTTCGTCTTATTCTTATTACTTATTGCTTATTCTTATTTTATTCAGATCAGATCAGATCAGATCAGAAAAATTCAGATCAGATCAGATCAGATCAGAAAGATTCAGATCAGATCAGATCAGATCAGAAAGATTCAGATCAGATCAGATCAGATCAGAAAGTTTCAGATCAGATCAGAAAGATTCAGATCAGATCAGACCAGATCAGAAACATTCAGATCAGATCAGAAACATTCAGATCAGATCAGATCAGATCAGAAAAGTTCAAACATAATTTATCACTTTTATTATTATATTAATTATTATTATTAATATTGTTATTACTATTATGATTATTATTATTATATAATTATTATTAATATATTAATAATAATATGATAAAGAAATAAGATATTAATAATAGTTATAATATTTTAATATAATAATAGTAATATAAATGCAATTATTAAGAAGACTATTATTATTATTATTATTACTATTATTATTATTATTATTATTATTATTATTATTATTATTATTATTATTATTATTATTATTATTATTATTATTATTATTATTATTATTATTATTATTATTATTATTATTATTATTATTATTATTATTATTATTATTATTATTATTATTATTATTATTATTATTATTATTATTATTATTATTATTATTATTATTATTATTATTATTATTATTATTACAATATAATAATAATAATATGATTAATATGATTATAATATTATATTATAATTATATGTAATTATAATTATAATTACAATCATAATTATAATTATGATTATAATTATAATTATAATATAATATTATAATAATATAATACTAATAATAATAATAATCGTATTATTATTAATATATTGTAATAATAATATTAATATAATAATATTGTTATGATAATATTAATTGTATTTATAGTACTATTATTATATTATAATATTATAATTAATGTTAATATAATTATAATTATTATTAATTATAATTATAATAATTATAATTATATTATTATATTATAATATTATAATTATAATTAATTTTAATATAATTATAATTATTATTAATTCTGATTATAATAATTATAATTATACTTATAATTATATTATAATTATAATTTATGATTATAATTATTATTTTTATTATAATAATAATTATTATTATTATTACTATTGTAATTATTTTACGGAGTAATTATAATAATATTGATAACTATAGTTACAATTATAGAGATAAATATTGTAATTATAATTACAATTATAATTATATAAGTAATTATAATTAAAAATATAATTATAGTTATAATTATATCTATATTTATAATTAGTGTAATAGGTATAATTTTTTTCATTTTAAATTTAATTTTAATTATTATTATTATTATTATTATTATTATTATTATTATTATAGTTACGATTATAATTATAATTTTATTTAAATTATATTTGTAATTGCAATTATAATAATTATAATTATAATTATAATCATAATTATAATCATAGAAACATTCAAATCAGATCAGATCAGAAAGATTCAGATCAGACCAGAAGGATTCAGATCAGATCAGAAACATTCAGATCAGATCAGACCAGATCAGAAACATTCAGATCAGATCAGAAAGATTCAGATCAGATCAGATCAGATCAGAAAGATTCAGATCAGATCAGATCAGATCAGAAAGATTCAGATCAGATCAGATCAGATCAGAAAAATTCAGATCAGATCAGATCAGAACTTAAAAAATTCAGATCAGAAACATTCAGATCAGGCGAAGAGAACAGCTTCCAAATCAGACCAGACCAGATCGGACTAAATCAGACCAGACCAGATCGGACCAAATCAGACCAGACTAGAAGATTTCAGTCCAAGTAAAAACATTCTAATTCGTATCGAAACATATAATGAACAGATTGAAGCTACGGTACATATAATGTTCTTTTAATTTTTTTTTTAAAAAAATTGTATTTAAATCATATTTTTCTAAAAAATGAACAGATTAAATCAATTCAGCTACTTCAGCCATAATTTCACCTATTTTAGCGCATTCATATGATTTAATCAATTTTAAATTAGTGTTATTGAACGAACTCTTGTTTATTAAATAAAATTTGACCAACACGTGAGTAAAATTGATATGATTGAAATTTAGATCAATAAACGAATATAATTGATAAAAGCTACAAATTGATTATATAAAAAATGTCTATTTTGTTGTATAATTAAAAAAGGATAATTAGTCTGTCGGGAAATTCATTGTTCATGTTCTACTAAAAAACAAATACTCCCTTTGTCTCGTAATTAAGTTCCTACTTTCCTTTTTGGGATGATCCATATTAAAGTTCCTACTTCAAACCTTTCCTTATTTAGCAAATGATTTACACCAAAACAGTGTCAAACAGTGCCAAACAGTGTTCAAACAGTGCTAAACAGTGTTCATACAATGCACTCCACAGTAAAATCAAATTTATTTCTTAATATGTGTGAAGTCAAACTAGGAACTTAATTAAGAACAAGAGAGTATTGTTTTCATTTTTTTCGTTCACTTTTACTCGAAAGTTTCACTCTATGTAGGGCACGGGCGGATACTAGTATGGTTACCCAATTAATAGGATTGGCCAAACGGTGAGGGACTTGCACGTGAAAGGGGGTTGTTTGAACGAAGATGGAAAAAGTAATTAGAATGGTAAGTGATAAATAATTATTTAGTAATTATTTTATGGAGTCATTAAAAGAGTAAGGCAAATGGTAACTCCGTAAATACAGCACTTCTCTTTCGTGCCTGGAAACTATCAGCATGCGGACATGCCGCTGGGGAGGATGCAATCCCCACCCAACTTTTTTGCAAATCAAATTTTGCAGATTATATTTTAGGATAGCATCTGCCACATATACCTTTAAGGCTACCAATTGATGTTACGACTTTTTATTTAGTTAGTCAATACAAATCAATCTTAGATGCCGTTTCACAATACTGTTTTTCGTCTAATCTGCCAACTTTTTCACCAAACATGTAACTTTTGTTTTCGTGTGCTAAATTGTGTAATAAGCAGAAAAAGTAAGGTTGAAGTTATTTTTCTGGCTGTATTGGCTGAAGTTACTGTGGATGACCATTTTAGCTATTTTTACATATAATTTTTATTTTATTTTATTAATTAAATATATTTTAAAAATAATTTTTTCTTAAATCAGCATAACCAGCCAATGCAACTATTTCAGCCAGAACTTCATAAATTTCAGCAGAATTAGCCAAAATAGCCGATTTTCATGCTACCAAACGGGCTCTTAGACTCTTACTTTATATACCAAATTTTTATCAAATTTGTTTCCGATATTTGCGACTTTATAAGCTATTAATATAGTTTTTGAACATGCAACTTTTTTTCTAAAAATAATTTGAATGCGGACAAAAATATGTTTGTTTTATCGTCGGTTAAACAAATACGCGAGTGAACAGTGGTAAATCGATTAATAGATAGAGATGAAATTTGTCTCATTATCTCCACTACATTCTAATAAAAATCTAAAGAATAACTATTTAAAGAAAATCTAAAGAATTGGGGGAAAACAACTTTTATTTGTAGTCGGAGCTTCTAGAATCTAGATGACAAAAGCTAGCTCTTCGAAAGCATTTTTTTACTAGACAAGGGCTTCTAGATGGATCATAATAAATTAATAATATAGTGTCACGTGTCAAAATATGTTACTTTATTTTAATTTGGCTAGCCTAAAAAATTAGTACATCCGTCAAAAAATGGACGTAGACTTTTCCGAAAAGCAAAGTGCTACACCTTGTCTATTTATATTATTATAGATATTGTAAACGTTCTGATTTATTTCTTTGCGTTAAGTGAAGTCCTGCCAATTATGTATCACTATTATTATATTAGGGAAAACTGTCAAATAGGTCCTCGAACTTTCATAAAAAAGTCAATTAAGTCCTTCTATAGGAGACTCTGTCCGGTCGTCGCGATTTGGGGCGGTTCCCGGTGGAATTTTTTGATGAATTTTTTTTAGCATCTTATTCATCAAGTCTAGTTTACTCATACCAAATTTCAGCTAAAAATTCAATCGGGAACACATTTAAATTAATTCTTGAAGATAACTGCGCATTTTTGCGTTCTCGAATTAATTTGAATGTGCTCCCGTTTGAATTTTTAGCTGAAATTTGGTATGATTAAACTAGACTTGGTGAATAAGATGCTCAAAAAATTTCATCAAAAAATTCAACCGGGAACTGCCCCAAATCGCGAAGGCCGGACAGAACCTCCTATAGAAGGACTTAATTGACCTTTTTATGAAAATTTGAGGACTTATTTGACTGTTTTCCCATTATATTATAATAAACTAATTATTATCTATCATCATCATCATTATAGATTATTTTGAATTGAAAATATTCCAATTACTCCAATATTCATATAACTCTTATTTTTTAATGGGTATGAAACATTGAATGTCTAATTGGGGGGAAAAGCAAGGTGCCACACCTTGTTACTTTATATTATTATAGATTTATATTATTATAGATTTCTTTACGTTAAGTGAAGTCCTGCCAATTATGTATCACTATTATTATATTATAATAAAACTAATTATTATTATTATCTATCATCATCATAATTATAGATTATTTTGAATTGAAAATATTCCAATTACTCCAATATTCATGTAACTCTTATTTTTTAATGGGTATGAAGCATTAAATGTCTAATTGGGGGGAAAAGCAAGGTGCCACACCTTGTTACTTTATATTATTATAGATAGATAGATAGATAGATTACTCCAATATTCATGTAACTCTTATTTTTTAATAGGTATAAAGCATTAAATGTCTAATTGAAGGGAAAAGCAAGGTGTCATACCTTGTTATTTTACATTATTATAGACTTTATATTATTATAGATATTTCAATTACTCTAAGTTTCATGTAACTCTTATTTTTTTAATGGGTATGAAGCATTAAATGTCTAATTGGA